ACTTGTTTTCTAAACCTTGTATGAGTATGGAAGGAATGTTGCTACAGAGCTTAGTGCTCATCCCCTACAAATAATATCTTTTCAGATTTCGTCTATGAGGAGGAGTTACAAGTAGATGAACCAGTGCATGGGGAAGCTTCCTAGAGGGGAACGGGGGTCCTGAACTGGATGCCTAGAGTTATATTTCTTTTGTACTAGACTAGAGAGTTTATTTTGAAATCATGTAAAGTCTAGTATTTTGTTATTTCACTGCAAGTGTAATTTAATTCTTTTGGGAATATATTTGTCATACTTGGCCTATTCTTTTGGGATGGCATTGTGGATATGACATATGATGAATGAAAGTTTATTTTATGATGGATAAATAGACCCGGTGTGGTCAATAGTTATGCATATGTGGACCCGGTGTTGTCAATTGTAATATAATTGTACAGGTTGTGTTTTGGGTAAAGCTCCCCGTACAAAGGAGACTCTGCCCAAATTTTGTTAAAATATGAATGGTTGATGAATGAACTTTCGTCGTGATGAATTTACGTAATGCTCTCATGGGGTGAATGGTTTTTAGAATGTAATGTCACCCAAGGGGGTTTTTGGGGCGTTACAGTTTTGGATCTTCTTTCAGACACTGGGATGTTGGGGTGCAAACCGGCATTATCACCTATGATTCCAAACCTGAAGCTTACTGCTGAAGGTGAGGAGTTGAAAGATCCGACAGTTTATCAAAGATTGGTAGGTAGACTTATCTACTTAGCCAATACTAGGCCGGACATTTCATTCGCAGTCAGCCGAGTTAGTCAGTTCATGCATAGGCCATGTCAGCCTCATCTTGATGCAGTTTATCATATTCTTCGGTACCTCAAGTCTTGTCCTGGACTTGGGTTGTTTTATGCATCAGGATCTCAGACCGGTTCTCTAGCCTGTTATTCATATTCAGATTATGGGGGAGCATGTGATGGTCGATCTACTACGGATTTCTGTGCTTTTTGAGGGACTCATCTTATCTCTTGGAAGAGCAAGAAGCAGACAGTTGTCTCCCGCTCATCCGCAGAGGCAGAGTATCGGACATTGGCACTTGGCACATGTGAGATTATCTGGCTAACTGATGTACATATAATAGATTCATGGCCAACTTTGGCGCATGAAAAACCAAATGTAATGTAAGGCCATCTGGGAGACGGACTGTACCCCTACTAACAATAGGGGCATGTGTTCCATCTGCTAACTGAACTTGTGTATGTAATGGCTCGTCAAAAGTGGTGAAGTGATGGGCCTCACCTGTCATGTGACCATTCGCACCCGAGTCTAACATCCAAAGGGGAGATGAACTGGCACAAGCGTGAAAGACACGAGATATACCTGTAGTGGTGACAGCAGCAGTAGTCAGACTCTGAAAAGTCAGAGCAGACATAAGTGTATCTAATCGGGAAGTGATAGCATCCATATCACTTTGCCAAGGAGGAGCAGTAGCAGGAGTGGCGGTAGTGGGCGGTGATACCTCAGCAATAGCAACAGTACGACTGCGAGAAGGTGGCTTAAGCTCTGGATGGAGCTTCCAGCAAGTAGCCCTGAGATGTCCTGGTCGGCCACAATAATCACATTGACGGGAATCCCCCCGTCTGCACTGATCTGGGGCGCCCTGACGGCGCTGGTCTGAGCGTTGCCTATCCCTGACTAAGGATCTTGAACGGGACCCTACAGCAGCTGCAAGGGCCATCTGGTCAATCGAAGGAGGCAAAGTTGCAACTAAAAGTGATGCAATACAGACTCGACGCTCATGCTGCTCAATCATCCCATACACCTCATAAAGAGAAGGAAGTGTCAACATCGACAAGATCTGAGAACGAGGTCCCTCAAACTCATCACGAAGCCCCATAAGGAACTTGTGAATCCTATCCTCCTGCTCTCGAGTATGCAAGAATGCTGCTCCCTCGGGCTCTATCTTTGGAATAGCAGCAAGAGGACGTAGAGACTCATACTCAAGCCAGCGTTGGGTCAAATAGCCATAATAATCCTGAATGGTCATATCTCCCTACCGAGCATATGAGAGCTCCTGAGAAAGCTCATAAACACGAACTCCCCGTCCTGACTGAGAATACATCTCTGATAATGCGCTCCATAGCTTCAGAACAGAGCTTATGAAACTGGTGGATCCTGCAAACAAAGGGCTCCATTGAGCCAAATAACCATCCAAGAATGACACAGTTTTCAGAGAACCATGCAGAATATCCAGGGTCGGCATCAGCTGGCTTTGGGTGAGATCCCGTCAGCCAACCAAGCTTCCCTACACGGCCTAAGAAAAGCTGGAATGAGCGTGACCACTCAGCGAAGTTACGACCATTCAACAATTGTGCCGTAACTTTTTGAGAGATCATGCCGGTAATGCTGGTAATGCAACTGTGCTAGTAGGCACTGTATACTGGTCAAACATAAAAGTGGAAGTACTCATAGATGTCTCAACGGTAGAGGTGTCAACAGTAGGGTTCTCAAGTCCCTCAGTAGTAGCCATATCAACAACAATACTAGGGCACCCGTGACAGAAAAATAACTCTAAGATAAATAGAGGAATAAAATAAGGGAGAACAATATACCTTCAGTCGAACAGTAGCGACAAATAGGGAATGTCCAAAAAGCTCCCAAATAATCAAGTCACGGTGCCCAGAAATCCAAAATATATAAATAAGTGATCTACTGCATCAAGAGCAAATCAACAACCCCTCATAAAAAATCCTAGATATAACAGTGGGTTGGGTTTAGTATATGTTTAATGGGCTGAGGCAATACTGGGTTCTGGTTTGGGTTGTTTGGGCTGCTGGTCGATGCTAGCTATTTACTTTGTATATGTCGGTGATGTTTAGAATGGTCGGTGCTACTATTTAGTGTGTATATGTTCGCTGGTAGATGGAATAAAAGCAATCAGTTGGTTTTGGGCAGTCGGTTGGTCTGGAGTTGAGTGGGTTTGTCGGCAGGTTATTGGCTGGGTCTTGGTGGGTATTGTTTATCGGTGGCTGGTATGTGGGTTCTGTCGGTGGGGCTACTGGGTTGATGTAGGCTGTGGACTTTGGGGGCAGTCTCAGTCGGTGCAGGTTGGGCTGCTTGGTTGTTTTGCCGGTACTGTCGATCGGTTGGGTTGATGCAGGCTGTGGGTAATTGTGGCAAGACTGTTGCTGGTAGGTAGACGGTGTAGCAGAGGTAGACGATGGAGTGGAGGCTATCGTCTCGCTGGTTGCGTTGTTTGGTGGAGGCTAATGTTAGAATTAGGGTTAGGGTTAATGGCTCTGATACCAACTTGAGATAGTTGTGAATGAAAAGGGATACTCAAATTAAGAGTAGAACCCCGTATATATATCCAAAAATAATACAGAGTGACTTAAACATCCTTGTAGTTTAGGCAAAATATAAAAATCATAGTAAGGGTAAAAAAGGGAAAAAAAATCCTAATAAACCTAGACTATCTATACTCCAACAGTTTTAAGTATTTTAGCATGATCGTAAACAACTTGATGCATCCTAGGTAAATGTAGATCTAGTCGTACAACTGAAGGAATTTCTTCATAGAGAGGATAACCGAAGAGCTGTCATGCAACCTTTGTCGGTCCAATATACCTTGCATCTTGCTTTATCTCATTGTTTTCATCTGGTCCCTCTAAGACCATAGTTGTGCGGTCATGACCTTTGTAAATGTACTTGTGGATGTATTTGACACACCTCATTCCTGCACAAATCTCCACGTTTATATGGCAGTTGAACTTTCCTAACAGGTGTGGATTGTAAGGTACGGCGTCCCGATTATCAAATGTATGCAATTGAGATGATATTCCTTCCAACAAAAGAAAGGTTAGATGTAACCTTGAGATTGGAGTCCTCATTGGTGATACAAAATGTTGTCATTTAAATTATCTTTTATTTTTATTATTAAAAAATTGAGTACAAAAAATAGTATTTTTAGATATTCGATTAACTTATAGCTTAACTAGTCCACCGAGCCATGGATTATTGAAATTCTTTGGGGTGAATTTCACTTTGTACTCTAAAAAATTTAAAGTTTTTTATTTTATAGCCTTAAAGTTTAATTTTTTTTTTTATATTACACCTTCAATATATCAAAAGTATTGAAATGTAGTATTTATGTTAGGTTTTTTTTATTTTTTTGTTAGTCTCAATGGGTTTACTTTTGACCAAAAAAAACATAATTGAAGTTAACAGAAGGACAACATTGAAATACTTTTGATAAATTGAGGGTGTATTATGAGAAATTTAATTTTTTAATGTACAAATTAAAAATTTTAAAATCTTTCAAGATACAAAGTGAGAAAAGTCAAATTCTTTTTGCTGACAACCGACACTCTCATCCACTCCGCCAACCAACAATGTAATCCCGATTTTTTTGAAAAATAATTTTTTATTATTTTATTATATTTTTTATTTTAATAAAATTTTGACATGTAGATAAATTATTTATTTTCTTATTTCACTTTAATCTATTATTTTCAGAATCAAAGATTAAAGATAAATAAAAAAAATATCAAAGATTCAAAATAATTTAAATGCATGATAAATTTTTCGGTATCATAATACTATCCTATAACTCAAGAATGTTTATCTACATAGATTTTCAGTATCTAATTAGAGATTCACTATGGATTCATTGGAGTACTCACATAAATTTCAGAGTTACCAGCATCTTGGAGGGAAATACATGACAAATGTTACGTGTTGCCTCCATCCCAAGAAACTAATAGTCTTTTTGTTTTGATGGAAAATGGGGTGGATGGAAAAGTTTTCCATTGTTTGGTATGTAAAGAAAGAGTAATGGAAAGGAAATTGGAAGGAGGGAGTTTCCTTCCCGCCCACAATTTATGTTCACCCCAAAAATGGGCGGAAAATGAGAAGAAGCCAAAAGAATTTGATTTTTGAATGTTTATTTTACATTTTTTTCCCTTTGTTACATTCTAATAAAACCCGTTTCTCAAAACAGCAAACAAACCCATTTCTCATAGACCATGGGCAACGACACACCCTTCTCAGACAACGGCAACGAGACGACGAACTCAATCGGCAAAACCAACGGTCTTCAAACTGGATTTTCGGCTACTGATTTATCAAATGTTAGATTAAACTATAATATTACATACTTTGGGTAGTCGGTTTGGATTTGAGTCTTTGACATTATTGGTACCTTACTGGAAGTTTCAAGTAATTATGTGATTTGTTGAAATTGTGATGGGTTGATTTGTGAAGTTTATGGCTATTAATTAATTGGGTATTGATTTGTGAAGTTCATGGCTATTACCTTCCTAGAGGTTTCAAGTAATTTTTTTTGTTTATGTTGGTTTACTATTATCTATGGTTTTGTTGAGAAGGCTTACTGGATTTTTGCAAAGAAAATTGCAATTGGTTTGCGTTCATGCCTAGTTTATCCATACTAACTTTTCTAAAGTAATTGGTTTTTGGTATTCTTAGATTAACTGGTACTTTTTCATTGCTATGGTGCACTTTCTTGGTGACTGGTTTCTTTGGGCTTTTTGAGGTCCCAGTCTTGGAGAAAGAAAAAGACAATTGATATACAAAGCCTTGCCCAATTGATAACTAAAACATGTTGGACAATTGCCGAAATGAGATAATTAAAAATTGATTTCTGGACTACCAAATTGCCTACAAAAAATACTTAGAGTTTCTCTTTTGTCATCAAAATTTTCTTTCTAATTCCTTCATTTCAATCAACAAAAACTGTAATCGCAACCACAATAATAATGATGTGCATCCCAAAACTATTTTCAAATTTTGTATCTCAATTCGATGCAGATGATTGAATCAGTTAAATTCATACACTCTCTAGTACAAGTCTTTTAACCAATTTTTTCTGCAATTTTAAACCTTACAATAGAATTGTGAGATGTTATGAATTCATGCTGACTAATTGTTGTTTTGTTACCATGCATTTAGTATATGGATAGGGAAGAGAGTTGGGAAGAAAATGGGGAAAATATTTGGGAGGATAATCTTATGCAAATTTTAAATATTTGGGAACATAGGTGACGTATGGCTGCGGTTCAAGTTGTTTACTATTTGGTTCATATATCTACTTGATTGGAATGTCATGCCACACCTCGTACGTGGATCAATCAGTTTTCCCAAAATAGTGGAGAAAGAGAGAGTGTAAGCTTAATGAAAAGCTTAAATTTCCATTTGTGAAGGACCATGTAAAAAATCGCATGAAAACTCTCAAGAGTAATTTTTTTGCATGTCATGAAATTTTCAATGGCTTAACAATGAGTGGGTTTGCATGGAATCTGGAGACACAACTATGGGAAGTGGAGAATGAAGTGTGGAAAGGGCTTATACAAGTATATTATTAACCATTTAGTAATTTTAATATGGTTGTAGATATATAAATTTTCTATGTTTGCTATTGTTTTTTCTCATATATGCATTTGTTATTGTTTTTCTCATATATGCATTTGATTTTTGTTATAGTCTAAACCAAGTGCCGCACAATGGAGGCATAATAAAATTTGCCACTACGACAAGCTATATGATCTCTTTGCAAAGGACAGGGCTACAGGGGAAGGAGTCGTGAGTGCAAAAAAAAAGGTTTGTCAATGGGAAAGAGAGGGAAGTGCTAATTTAATTGATCTTAATGATAGCGTTGATGAATTTAGCTTGAACTTTGAACCAACTTCGCCTTCTACACCTTTTCAAGTAAGCTCTCAAAATGTTACCACAACCAAAAGTTCCAAACGAAAGGCAAGTATGTTAGATGTGATGGATAGACATACTGAACTCATAAATAGTGGAATTAATAACGTGGCACATGCAATCAAGGAGGGAATAGTTATTGCAGAGAGAGTTAGACCACGTTGTTATCCTGAGAAGGATGTATTTGCTGAATTGGTAGAAATTGGAGTTCCAAACTCACTTCAGCTTTATGCATTCCTATTCTTGATTAAGAACCAAGCAAACATGAGAGCATTTTTTGCTGTCCCATCAAACCATCATTTGGAGCTTTTGAGTAAATTGATGAGTGAAACAACTGGTTCTTGAACAACTAAGTGATCTAGACAGCTTTTGAGATGTGCATCTACTTACTATATGTCTGCATTTTGGATGGTACATGTTGATAATCAGACTTTTTTGTGCTCATAGTAGCATAAGCATGAACCTTATAATGTAGTTGGTGACTTTTTGTAAGAAGATTTCATGTAGCCACGTAAAACGAAATATGTAAAGTGCGTACAGTGCCAAAATTTCCCATTTTGGCACTTTGTGTTGTATATTTGCATGGATAATTGTCTTTCAATTTTTTTGTTTGCCTATTTGGTTTACAACATCAGTACAAAAATGCAGGTGCCAAGTAGAGGAGCAATGATTTATGCATTTTTTAAAATGGAATATGAGTAGGCACGTTTTGGCCTTTGTATGTGAGATTATGGCTGCACAATCTTTCTAATATGAAAGCTGAATGCATGGCTTTGTTGGATGGTCTTAATTTCATTCTGTAGTATGGATGGGCAGAGCATCAGATCCTAATTGAATCTGATTCTCAAACATTAGTGCAGATGGTGTTGGGTCAGGCAGAAGTTCCATGGAGACTGCAGATTGTTATGGAGAAGATTCGGTGTTTATTTGGCATTTTACAGGTGCAAAAGCTAATGGAATTGCTGATTTTTTGGCATCCTTTGCTGTTCAAACTGGGAGACATACTGACTTTTAAGTCAGTTATGTTCTTCCACTTGCTGGGAGGCTGTTTTGCAAAGGGATCAGAGTTCGCTGCCTACAACAAGATTGAAGAAGGTTATTAATAGAGGTACACTACCTCTTTTTTGCTGCCTATTGCCAGATTGAAAAGGGTTGTTAACAGAGGTAATTACCTCTTTAATGACTCAAGTTGGTGGTCAGTTGAACTCAGGAAATGCAGCAACAGTACAGGAAGATTTTTAACTGTTTTGTCTGATGTGTTGTAACATAATTTCTATTATGAAACAGATACTTGTAATAGAATTATGGGAGGTGCTTAGCTGTAACAGTTTTTTCATTTTTTTTTGTTAAAACAGTTACTGTTTTTTTGTTTAAATAGTTTCTGTTTTTGATTCTAAAAAAAAAAAGAGGTACATTATTTTTAATGGCCTATTTCCGTGCAGGCAGTCTGAAGCTTTAGAAGTGATTCTAACTTCTAAGGAGTCTTGAAGGATTATAACATTAGGAGGTTTTTTTGTAATTTTTTCATTGTTTGATTCTTGTGTATTGTTGCTTCTTGTAATAATTGGTTTCAATCTATAAATTTTTTTCTATTTTTTCAAAAAAACAAAAATTTCTTTTGCTAATTATTTTTTTACTATCACACAAGAAACACACAAAATGACTTCATATATTTAAAGGGTAGAATTGTAAAATTGGGTATGCATGATTTTCCTTTCCTTTCATTTTTCATCTATACCAAACGATGAAAAATATATCCCTTATATTTTTCATCCCTCTTACCAAACAAAAAGGAGGAAAAATAACTTTCTTTCCTTTATGGATGGAAAGTGTATTCCTTTCACTTTTTCTTCCTTCCTTCTTTCCATTCTTCGTACCAAACAGACTATAATAGTGTGTTTGGTATGATGAAAAAATGGGTAGAAGGAAAGTGAAGGAGGGAAAATGGAAAGGAGGGAAAAAAGTTTTTATTGTTTGGTCCCAAAGGAAAGTATGAGGGAGTGGAAAGTGGGAAGGAATCTCTATCCTTTCAGCCCACCAAATATTTTCAGTCCAAATTTGGGCAGAAAGTGGAGGAGAAAATGAAAGCAATGCAATAATTTTTTAAGTTGACATTTTTACCCTTTACTTATTTGAGTGAAAAAATATATTTAATGGTAGAATTGTAAATTGGGCACATATATTTTTCTTTTTCTTTCATTTTTCATCAAATACCGAACAATAGAAAATATATTCATTTTACTTTCCATCCCTCCTACCAAACAAAAAAGAAGGAAAATAACTTTCCACTTTTCTTTTTCTTTCCTTCCTTTTTTTCTTCCTTCCTTATTTTATTTTTATGAAGATAATCATTTCTTTATTCTTTCCACTTTTCCTTTCTTCTTTCTTTCCATCATTCATACCAAAAGAACCATAAAAGTAATATAAATGTTACAAGGAAATGACTATCTTCATAAAAATAAAATAAAATAATTTCCTACCAAAAAAATACTATGCTGAATATCAAATTATGATATGAAATTGACCATTACAATTTTTTTCGATATATATAAATCAATCAATCATGACTAATTTTACTTTGTTGTGACTTGATTTTTTTTTGTAATTGATCAAAATCTTTTGTAATCAATTATAATATTTTAATTTGTAACTAAGACTATTTTAATTATAAATTAAATCCTTAAACAATTATAACTTAATTTTTAAATACTGTAATTTTGAATATAATATTAAAAGAGGTGTCATAGTCATTCTCAAGTTGAAAAGTCATGAAAAATAGGTCGGTAATTTAGAAAGTTAAGAAATATATGTCGGTAAGTTGAAGACTCAAGAATATCAGTACACATCTTCCCCCCCGGCGGCTCTCCTTCTCCCAAAAAAAAAAAAAAAAAACTCTTTAATTTTGGATATCCATGGCCCATTGTTAAACGCCGTTAGGACGAAACTACCCTCTTCAAGACAGAACGAGATGGCCGTTTCCAGTTGTTGAGATCATTAAAAATGGCGGGGTCACGGCATAATGGTACGTGTCAGGACTACCCGTGATATGGGCCCATCAATGACACGTGTTAACTTGCCAGACGATCGCGTGTCTTTCCATTTCAATCATTGCAGCCTCACTGGCGCGCTGGGCGATTCTGTGCCGTTAATCAATCGTACTGTGGAACCCACCTTCTCACAAGTCAGAATTTCGTCGGTATATGCTATCCAATGAGGCGAGAGTCGTTGGCGACTTGGCGTCGGATTTTAATAAGTTTTGCGTAAAAAATTATTTCAACTCTTTTATTAATTTGCGTTGAATTATATTATATTAAATTTATGTTGTGCATAAATTATATATAATTAATATATATTGATAATGATGAATTTTAGGTATGACTCGTCCTACTCAAGAGTTTAATAAGTTCAAAAGACCTCTACTTGCAGAGTGCTCCAAATCGTTCACCTACAGCTTGTTCATTCTAAGATTAGAATAGATTGTGTTCAAAGGATGAAGTCGGGACAATATCTAAAGGCTTGAAGTCCCAACCCCAATCCAGCCTAGCACGAGGTTAGCTCAGGATCAAGGAGCTCGGCCCCTTTATCGATTCTGAATCATTTTGTCGTGCCACGTGTCTAAAGGATAGAGAGATCGTTTCTGACATCTATAACGAACACACACTCTCTACCGCAGAAAATATTAGTGCGCGTAATCGCTCAAAACTGTAGATGTAGTGGCGTCATATGACGGAGGTCACTATAAAACAAAAGTAGAAGAGTCCATAGAATCAGCAAAAAAAAAAAGAATGAGCCACAAGAAACTCTGGAAGGATTACATGTATAAATATGACACTATTACCCTACGACACACACACGATCATTATCTTCCTCATTGTCTACATGTGAATCACACAGATAAACGTGTATCCTCTAAGCATCTCTTGTAAAGGCTCTAAGACAAAAGAACCACTATAAAAACCTTCTCAAGTAATATACACCCCAAAAGATTAAGAGATTCTCTTATAATGGACGTGACCTAAATACTTCGACTAAAACGAACCACTTATATAACGTTTTATTCTTTTCTCTTGCAGTTTCGTTCATTTTCAACTTATATTTCCATTTTATCCCTTCTCTGGGTCAACAGACTGTGGTTTTGGACTTGAGTTAACATTATGAGCACCATCATATATAAATAAGTTGAATTGAGTATTTTTTAAATAAATTTCTTCCATACTCAATTTATTTATTGATCATATCGGGTCGGGTTTATTCGTTTATAAAATCGATAACTTAAAGTAAACTCAACCCTCTAATTTCGTATCCTGTTAAAAATCCTATCATATTTTAACATCCCTAATCACAATACTATTTTCTGCCCTTTTGAGGTTCTAATATCATGGTTTTTGAGTACTGAGACTATAATAAGATAATATTGAACCATTCTTTTGAAAAGGGAGAATGATACAAGATTCAAACCAATGATCAACCATTTAAATCACAACAATTTTGGGTGTTACTAGGTATATCATATTCTTTGAATTTCAAATTGATTATCTCAAGACTTTTTTTAATAGAAACAGTGTATCTTATTCATAAGGGATATCACATAATAGAAGAGACATTACCAAGTTCGGAACTCTTTACATGTTTTGTAAAACTAAAGGCTACTCGATTTTCATTTTCTACGAAGTATTTTTACTTCTTGTTGTCTAAAGCCTTGAACATCAATTTTGAGGCTGTCCAAATACATCTCCAAAGGTATCGTCTAGAGATCTTGTACCTCCTGCTGCAAAGCAAAATTTATAGCTAAATAGCTTCATTATGGCAATGACATCCACGTCCATTGTTGGCCCGCTTGAGTCTAGTTTCATAGCAAGATCAACCACAAAGAAGCCATTATTGTCCCCGACGACAATTCCAATGCTAAATTACGGCACTTTTTAAAAGCGGACTCAACAAACTCATTTTTAGTAAAAAGTGGATTCAACACAATTTTAATGTAAAAGTTGGGAAGGAGATATTTTTTTTTTTTTTTTTGTAAGAAGCAGGTTTGTCAATCACGCTTTCAATTGAAAGCATTGTTGACAAATACCATGTTTATAAAATTCACTAAGATAAATAAAGTGTTGGCACTGCACTTTTTCTACTTCTCTTTGTATGCCGTCTCTCAGTGAACAGTACCAACAGTAAGCTTCTCTGCAAATTTAACTATGTTTATGGCTAGGCTCTATTTCATTTCATTGAAGCAATTCAAAACAAAAAAGAAATTAATCTATCCTCCAAGTCTAATGCGTTCAAGAAACTGCATCTGGTCTTACGTAATTGGACTAATGCGCATTAAACATTTTGGATAGCTAATGGCTATGGCAGTTCCCATGTTGCGAAGGGATCTCTGGGTTTACATCGCTTAATTGAAGCACTAAAATTTGTGTTTGTTGTCCGGATGAACCTGGGTGATCTTTGAGTCATGAATAATTTTGGGTTTTCAAGACGAAAAAAACATAAGGTAAGTTAGACAAAGGCGAAAAGAAGATTGTGGAACATAAAAATGTGTCGCAACGGCAGAGCACTTACAAATGGGTATTCACCCAAAAAATATTAAAAAAACCGTTTTAATTCTAATAGGTATTGAGAGAACAACTCAGTCATCTTCAATATACATCAAAACACCATTAGAAATGGGTTGGCTGAAAGAGATGGATTTTGATGTTCTTTGGAGAACTATGAATCTCATTCACAACCCTAACCAGGGGTGGAGTTAGACATCTTCTTAAGTAGGAGCAATCTAAATTATATTAATATTATAATTAAAATATTCACAAAAATATAATTTTATTAATAGAACATTAATTAAAGACACAATTCATATATATGAGCGATATACAAAGTGAGTCAACAAAAAAAACTTATTATAGATTTATCTATAAAACTTAACAAAAAAATTTTGAATTGTAAAATTGGACTCAATCATATATTAAATTTTAAGAAAAATTTTCATAACTAATTCAAAAATTAATTTGTTCAATCACAAACTTAATATTCATCATTAAATTTTAACAAACAATTGAAACTAACTTAAACTATAATTATTCTAGTAAATTAAACCTAGGTATATAAAGTA